TTTCCGGCTCTTGACTTACGTCTAGCTATCCCTGGCCACTGTGGTCATTTCTGGTGTTAACCAGCAGATGTGATATCTGTCTGTGGATATGAGTGTGTGCACAGGAGCATATGCTCAAATAAGTAAAAGCAGTAAGTTTAAAAACTTAAATTTTGCTATGTTCCCCAACTTATCTGATCATAAGAATCAGCTGAAATACTAAACATACAGATTTATGCTCAGGATCTTTTGACAGAGTGCCTGGTGCAGACCAGGCAGAAACTGTTGCATTTGTTTTGTCTTCAAGCATCTCGGATGGTCCTTAAGATCAGATGAGTGCAGAGAAAACTGGGGTTACAGTTCATACGCTGAGGCCCCAACACCAAATGGAATGATGTTTGAAGATGGGGGCCATGGAGAGTTCAGTACGTATAGACAGCATGTGGTGCCCTCATAAAAGCACTAGCACTCACTTTGTCTCCAACATGTGAAGACCATCTGGGCCTGGCACGGTAGCCCAGTGACTAAAGTCCTCACCTTGCACATGCTGGGATCCCAAATAGGCACTGGTTCATGTCATGACAGCTCCCTGCTTGTGGTCTGGGAAAGCAGCAGCAGATAACCCAAAGCCTTGGGACCCTGCCCCTGTGTGGGAGACCAGGAAAAAGCTCCTGGCTCCTGGCTTTGGATTGGCTCACCTCAGGCCATTGCAGCTGCTTGGGAAGTGAATCCTTGGATAGGCCAGTAGGGGAGTGAATCAACAGATAGCAGATCTTCCTCTCTCTCTCTCTCTCTCCTCTCTGTATATCTGACTTTCCAATAGAAGAATAAATAAATCTTTAATAATAATAACAAAGTGACCATCTGCAAGCCAACAAAGCCCTCAGCAGAATCTAGCCAGGCTGGCTCTCTGATGTTGGATTTCAAGTCCCCAGAACTTTGAAAAATAAATTTGGTGCTTAAGCCACCCAGTCTAAGGTATTTTATCATGGCAGTCAAACCAAGACACATAATGACTGATTCAATCAGAACAAAGATGAAGTGTCTACCACACGGTGGCTATGGTAATTTGCTTGAATGCAAAACTCCCATCATTCCAACAAAAGCACTCGTGCAGAGGACTGAGGGGAAATGCGGTTGTACCCCTTTATAGTTTAGTACACACCAAGGAAAATTGGACTGAGAAGCTGGAGAAAAGATGGAGCAGCAGAAAGTAAGTAGTGCTGGATACAGAAACTAACAGCAACCAGGGCGGAGGGCAGAAAACAACAACAACAAAATGAACATCAACCCCTGAGCTCTCGAATGACATGCTTTGGTTTGAAGCGGGTTTGTGTTGGTGGAAACTCAGGAGGCCCAGTTCCCAGTCTATCTGCTGAAGTGGCAGGTCCTTTAAGAGGCATTTGGAGTCAGGAGGGATTGACCCTCACAGGTGTTTTTCTGCAGGACACTAGCTTCATTATCTCAAGAACAGATTGGGTCTCATAATCGTCTACCAGCAACTGGCAAGTGAGCTGTTATAAACGGCACCTGCCTCCCTACCCCCAAACACCGCCATGGTTCAATAGCTAAATTCTCGCCTTACATGTGCCTGGATCCCATGTGGGCGCCAGTTCTAATCCCGGCTACTCCACTTCCCATCCAGCTCCCTGCTCATGGCCTGGGAAAGCAATCGAGGACAGCCTAAAGCCTTGGGACCCTGCACCCACGTGGGAGACCCAGAAGGAGCTCCTGGCTCCTGGCTTCGGATTGGCTAAGCTCCAACCGTTGCAACCATTTGGGGAGTGAATCAGTGAAGATCTTTCTCTGTCTCTCTGCTCCAAACCTGACTGCATTTCCAACGAAAATTTTAAAAAGCATATATTAAAAATGGGAGAAGGGGCATCGGCTCTGTCATTCACTGGCAAACGAGCCCCTGCATGGCCTCTCCCAACACGTGATCCACCACAAGCCTGCACGAGAAGCCGACGCCAGCACCACACTCTTGAACTCCAAACTGTATGCCAAACAAACCTCTTTCTTAACTTACCCAACCTTAGGTGATAAGGCAACACAAACTGGACTAGAACACAGCACCCTCTGTGATTACCATTATATTTGTATTCTTCGGGAGTTACTGTGCTTTCTTCATCACTTCCCTTTTGGACACTGCTCACAGTGTGTCACCAAGAGCAAACACAAAATATTTCCTGCCTGAGCACAAGGGCTGCTTCAGTCCCGACACACATGTCTCTTCTTTCTCTTCTTCTCAGACACTCTGGGAAGTCCAGCTTAAGACTTGCTTCTCCAGGCTCCCACCCTGAGCTTCTTCTCTTCACTCGATCCACCCAAATCTTACCCACCAGCCAAGAACGGAATACTATGTCCTCAGTGATGCATCAGTTCGATGCCCCTTCGAGGAGACGGGGCATTCGGAAACAGAAACTTTTTTGATCAAATCTGATCTATCCCCAACAATGGGAGTCCCACTCTTATGGGGCATGCTCCAGGAGTTGCCTCGCCCTTCCATGAGGTTAAGGGTAGCATTAGGGTTAGGTAGGGGATGCCGTCGCCAACCCAGCAACTGGGTCCTCATAAACACCACATCTGCTGCTGCCTTGATCATGGACTTCTCAGCCCCCAGAACTATGAAAAAATGGATTTCTGTACATGCATTTCCGAATTTGAGCATTGACACTATGGCACAGTGGGTTAAGCCACCACCTGCAACACTGGCATCCCATATGAATGCTGATTTGAGTCCCAAGTACTCCACTTCCAACCCAGCTTCCTGATGATGGGCCTTGGAAAACAGCAGAAGATTGTACAGGTGCCTGAGCTCCTGCCTGCCACAGCCAGGACTGGGACTGAACTCCAGTTTTCTGGCTTCAGCTTGGAACTGTCCATGTGACCACATGTGGAGTAAACCAACAGATAGAAGATCACACTCTCTCTCTCTCTCTCTTTCTCTCCTTCTTGTCTGTCAAGTAAATCTTTTAAAATATAAATAAAGTGTCCAAGTTATAACATGTGTTAGAGTAGACAGATCAGACTAAGATACCCTCTCCAGGCACCATCTAAGTCACTGGCTCCCAACGTGGCCCCAAAGGTCAGTAGTGCACTAGTTGAGAAAACTGATTGAAACTAGCCTTCTCCCAGTTCCCTCCCTGGGAGCTCTCTTTAGCTCTCTATACTCATCTTCTCCCAACAGCTCAGAACAAAAGCTCCTCCTTAGCATGCTGTTTCTCTTCCGGCTGACCAGCCTATAACGTTCTCTGCAGGCACAATTATTAACTAATGAAAAGACAAAAATACTAAGGCTGCCACTGTTACAATGCTGGAAAAGCCGCCACTTGCAGCACCAGCATCCCTTCTGGAAGCTGGTTGGAGTTTCGGCTGCTCTGCTGTCAGTCCAGCTTGCTGTTAACGCACCGGGAAAAACGGCAGCATGTGGCCCAAGTCCTGCAGCCCCTGCCACCTGCATGAGACACGCAAAAGAAGCTCCTGGCTGCTGGCCTCCCAGCTCTGGCCACGGCAGCCATTTGGTGAGTGAACCAGCAAATGGAAGATCTTTCTCTGTCTTAAATAAACAAAACAAATTCTAAAACAAAAAAGAAGAAATTAAAAAATTAAAGCATTTCTCTATAGCCTTTCTGTATAGTACTTGTAAGGACTTATTCCAATATCCCAACCTGGACCCTGCGCCATTCCTTCTTCCTCACAGCTCACAGAATTCGCGCCAGTCCAGCCATCCACCAATCAGATGTAAACTGGCATTCCACCTGAGAATCCCACCCCCAATCTCCCAGCCCCTTCCCCAAACCCGCCCACTCGCCAATCATCCCCAGGCATTCACCTGCAGGCACCAATCTCCTGGGGCCTTGACCTCAATCCCTCCCAATCCCCCCGCACCTGGCAGACAAAAAAGGCCCCCAGGTGCGGTTCGCTCTCTCTCTTGCTGTCTTGTTCTCTCTTGCTCTCTTGCTCTCTTGTTCTCTCTTGCTCTCTCTTGCTCTCTCTTTCTCTCTCTCTTGCTCTCTTTCTTGCTCTTGCTCTCCTTGGTTCCTCTCCCCTGCTCTTCCTCTCTCTCTCCTCCTTCTTACCTCCCTTCCCCCTTCCCCTTTTCCTGCCCCACTCGGTTCTCTCTCTCTCTCTCTCTCTCTCTCTCTCTCTCTCTCTCTCTCTCTCCCTCTCCCTTGCTCCCCCCCCCCTTTCCCGTTCCCCTTCCCCTATTCCTGCCCCGCTGGAATAAACTTCCTAAGTTGCGTCTGGTGTTTTCAGCTCACGGTAAAGAACCAGGTTGCGAGAATTAGATGCGCGTAAAGTATCTTAATATCGTATAACCTAAAACTAGAACTCTTCCACTCTTTTAAATAACTAACAGTACTGAGGTAGCTGTAATGCCAAAATTTTATACACAATACGACCTTCTTAAAATCCGTGGCGACCTTGTTCAGGTTTGTAATGCTAGACAGAATGTATCTTTTCCTCTGAGGCATTCTTTTATGCCTGGAACGGACTGTTGCTTCCCTCAAAACACCACTATCCTTTATCTCTCCCTCACACACACACCCTATGATAAAACTCATAAAGATTTGCTTTTTTAACCCTGGGAAAGTCTCAAACGAGAATCCTGAGATTCTATAGCATCTAAAAGGGCTCTTCACAAGAACCAGGCCATCGATAAAGATTTGATGAGAATTACATCGCTCCCGGCCACCTGCTATCTTTAACTGGCGCCACAGCACACGAGCCTCAAGACCGTTCATCATCACAGCCCATCTACAGAAGCCAAAGAACACCGAGGCGCAAGGAGCTCACAAACTAGAGAACACAGTCTTTGAAATGCGTGTAAAGCCAGGTTTTTGAACCAAAAAGTTGTGGCGCGCCACATCTCCAGAGCTTCAGCAGAGAGAGGGCGTCTCAGAGAGGGGCGTCAACTGTAACACACTCAACATCGCGGAGAGACAGAGGCCAGGACCGTCTACCAGCCTGGGACTCTGCAGAGCGCCTCCCCATCGCCTCCTCGGCTTCCGCCTTACCTGCTGCCCAATTCAGATGCGCCTGATAGACCCGAACTTTCCACAACTGGATCCTGAATCCCTTCCTCAATTCCCCCTCACAGTCGCTGAAACGGCTAGCGCGGGACCCTGCGTCATCAGCCCGCGCCGCGAGTGGTCACGTGACGCCCCGCCCAGCTCTCCGCCTCCTGGATCATGTGACGGCCTGGGGGAGCCAGGAGCGGAAGCCTGGTTTTGGCCCGGCTGGAGATCTGGGCTTACGGATATAAGAGGGGCTCGGCATCAATAGGCGTGTGGGGCTGGGGTGCGGATTCCGCGCGGGACCGGCGGCCCTGCGGGTGAGCCGCTGGCGCGGTCCGGCTGACAGGTGAGTCCTGAGGGGGTGCGCCCCTTCTCTTCACATCTCGGATCCCCTCCCCCGCCCTGGCCGAGGGACCCGCTGCAGCGTGGTGCGCTCTGTTTGAGGGACCTAGGATGGAGGAGACTCACACGCCTCCTGGAGCTGGGGTTGCAGTCCCCTCTTCCTCTCTACTTAGATGCAAATCATTCCGCACTCTCGGCTGTGGAAAGCCATGTCCCGGTAACTGATCCTTCCAAGTTTTTCGGTAGTAGCTGTGGGGATGTTGTTCCTCCAATTACTTTCTAGGAAACTGATTGGTTCACAGGCTGCTTTAATGGAACTGAGCTTGAATTATGCGTCTGCTGTGGGTTGCGCGTTTCAGGAAATCATTGCTCTGTCCCATACCTCACCTGTGACATGGAGATGTCCTTTGCATTTGAGAATAGAGGGAATGGCCCTAGGTCACAGGAAGTCCTAGATCCCAACTGTCTGGAGCCCCCTCCAGTGTAGGAGAGTGGTTAGGGAGAAATTTCAGTGCCCTGCCCACAATCAGAGACACCCTCCCCAGTGGCCCTGAACCTGTCTTCTCCAGGATTTGTAAATCAGACTAGAACAGCCGGCTCGTTTCAGAACCTTTTCTGGAAGGAATATGCCACTCACATTTAAATTGATTGACGACCATTGTGGTTTATTCAGGCTGAGGGATTTGGGAAGACTGACGTTTCTGTCATTATGCATGCAAGGTTGTGTGAAAAGATAAGTAGCGCTCTAATTTAGTCCACCGAGAGTCTCTCCACCATGGTGACATTTCCTTAAGCAGTACAGTGCTGTACCCGCCACATCACGGGCATGACAGTGCCATGCTTGGTTCTTGGAAGCACATTGTCTACAATTCCTTCCCATTCTGAAAATTCTTGTTGCATGCCAAGTTCCTAAAAATTTCACTACTTTGTAACTTGTAAAGGAACATAAGGAATTGAGAGGAATCTCTGTTTCATGGCCACGAGTCACGGAGCCTGCATTGACTCGACTGGTCTTTAAGAGTTTTCCTCAGTGTTAACACCCAGGGCACCCCCTGGAAGGATGCTTTATAGTTTCCTCGGCACCATTTATTTGGACCTCACCCTGGAGTAATTATGAAAGACTCATCTGTGTCTTGACACCTTGTAAAGCCACCACCCACCTGCCTGTGAGGTCAGTGCAACATGGTTAGACTCCTTGCATAATGATTCTGCGATTCAATTCTGCAGGAACTGAAGCACATTGCAAGTGGGCTCTTACCCATCCGGTAGGGCTGGTTTGCAGATGCTCTAGCTGCATTGGATGGGGTCACTTGTGCAGATCTCTTCTGTCACATGAAGAATGTAGACCAGGTTAGGAGCTCTCTGGTATATAACACTGTCGCTAAATGTGTTGATGTAACCAAATGATTTCCTTCTTTCTCTTAATCTTGTGTGAACTTTCTGGATCTTCAGAAATTTACCAGAAGATGCTTGCATTATTAAAAATTATTAAAAATGTGAAGGAAAGTCAAGTGCTCCCATATAAGATGGAATTACAGGCAGCAAGCTTATATCACCAAGAGTTTGTCTTACATTAAAAAGATACAACACAAACATTTGTTTTTATAGAATTTTAGACGAAGCCATTACTCTAAATAATAGATGCACACAACTTTTGTTTTGCTTTGCTACACATCTATCATATCTTGTCTAAATCTGTCTTAAAGCTGTGTGTGGTACAATTCTTGAGTAATGACTTAAAGATTAAAATAAGAGAGTGACACACTGAAGTCTTGATTTATGTCATTATCTGTCCCTGACAGTACACGTGCAGATTCTACCTTTCGGTACAGAATGGAGACGAGGGTAGGTAATGTGGCTTTGCTTTAAGCTGTTTTCTCCAGGACCCCAATGTCTTCTCTGTCTTGGAACCCAAATCTGGCTTGCCCCCTCCCAGTGAACCTGAGGCTCATCCTATTGAGACCACCCAGGTTAGTTTGGGGGTCTTCAAAGGAGCTCAGTACTGGTAACCACTGTCCATTTTTCCCTCCTTTCTCTTTTAACTCCCAAGCTAGACCGTGTCAGTGAGGAAAATGAAATAAAATTATTTGAAATTCAGCCTGTGAGAGATCACTGGAGTTTAACAATCAAGCATTGTGAAGAACACTAAAAGGATTTGTGAATAATTTATGTGTTAATGTGCACTATTGGATGCCGTCATGAGAGAGTGTCAGGCAGCTGCAGTGACTTCTGTCACAGCGCCTTGTTTTCGGGGGCCCTATGCAGACCCTCCCCCAGCTCTGTTCTGCATCTTCCTCACCCTGCTGCAGCCATAGTGGCCTCCTAGCTATTCCTCAAGCATGGCACCTTCCTGCCCTGGGGCCCCACTTGTAACCTCTGGCTAGCATATCTTTCTTCTGATCGTTATCCTGCTGCAAAATAGATTACTCCAAAACCCAGTGGCTTAAGACGATGGTGTCTCACAGTTTCTAAGTTCTGGAATCAGGGGGATGGCTTAGCTACCTCCCTTGGCTCAGGGCCTCTTTTGTTGTCTGAAGTCTACCCAGGGACTCAGGGAACCACTTCCAGACACACGGGGTCATCGGTAAATTTCCATCCACTATGACAAGGACTCCTCCACTGAGCTGTCATAATGAGACAATTTTCTCCACAAAGACTAGCAAGCCAGAGAAGGTGCTACTAGTCATGGTGTTTTTTGTTCTCTGAGTTCCTAACTGCTATCTCCCACTTCTGCTCCATTCTTCCCTGTAATAGGAGGCAGTAAGCCAGCTCACACTCAAGGGATGGAGTCTACCTAAGGCAGGAATATCAGGAGGCAGAGGTCATTGTGGGGAGGAAGACTGTCTTGGAAGCTGCCTGCCACACCCAGCTACCTTTCATGCTCACTCCCCTGCTTCCCTCTGATTTCTGCTGAAATATTATCACAGAGTTTGCCGAGCCACTTCATGTGAACCGGCACGAGTTCCATCCCTGATGTGTGCTTTTTTTTTTTTTTAATAGCGATTATCACAGCCTGCTGTTCACTACCTTTTTCCCCTTCCCAAGTAGTTAGGCTCCATGAAAGGAGGAACTCGCTGTTTTTTAACGTCTTATGCCAGATGCTGAAACAGTGCTTGACACCTAATAGTCACCAGATGAATATTTGTTCAATGAAGCATTGGTATCATTATGGATGCCTTCCCAAATAACCTAAAACCCAATTTTAGTGGATAAACCACAAAAGCATTTAACAGGTGTTATAGAAATAGTTGAAGCAGATCAGTAATACCAGCAAGAATTTAGGTTCTTTTTTTGTCCTGCTCTAAAATCTACATCTTCTTGATTCCCCCTACCCACCAATTGTGCCACCTCATGGTCACCAAATAGCTGTTGCAGCTCCAGGCATTGCATGTTCATTAGACCACGTGCATTTGAAGACAAGAAGCAGAGGAATAGCCAAATGGAGAGAAAGAGCTCTTCACATGCTCCTCTTCTTTTAGCAAGATGGAAAACACATTTTCTAGAAGCCCTGCTTTAGACTTATTCTTAAAACTCATAGATTAAAGCTTCCAAGTCTGTTTGCTTCCTGGAGGGTACTAAAATAAGAATCTGACCATCACATCTTCCATGGGAAAAAGAGAGAGAGAAAGGAAGGGAAGGAGTGGGGAATATTATTGAAGGACCATAATTTCCTAATAAATTAGGATGTTCGCAGATATTGACTTAGTGACAGACTTCCAAAAGGGAAAAAGAAGCTTCTTCGGGTTATGCAGGCTTTGCCAGCAGTAGATAACTCTCAGAGGCATGGGGCCAGTGCCATGGCAAAGCACACCAAGCCTCAGGCTGTAGTGCCAGCATCCCATATGGATACTAGTGGCTCCACTTCTGATCCAGCTCACTGCTAGTGGCCCAAAAAAGCAGAGGAAGATGGTCTGAGTCTTTGGGCCCCTGTACCCAAAGAAAACCAAAAGGAAAACCAAAAGGAAGCTCCAGGCTCCTCGCTTCAGACCAACCCAGCTCTGGTCATTGTGGCTTTTTGTGGATTGAATCAACAGAAGGAAGATTTCTCTCTCTCTATCTCTCTCTCCTCTGTCTCTCTCTCTCTAACTGCCTCTCAAATAAAACTACATACATCCTAAGAGAAAGAGAGAGAGAGAGAAAGCATGCAAGCAAGCAATTGGAGGCAAGGCAAGCATTGAGCATTTTTGCTGAAGCTGCAAGGAGTCTCTCCTGTAACAAGTTTTTCACAAATCTGTCTGTATCTACACAGGCTATGAAATTGGAAGATGACTCAAGACTTCCATGAAATTAACAAGTGGTGACCTAGCTAAACTAACAATCAGAGAAGCAAAGATAAAGATGGCATCATTATCACTTCCAAAAACAGTGATTTTTAAAAGAAATTGAAACATCATAATACAATGTAATCAACAAAGAAAAAAAAATTGAAACAGCGTTTCTAGGGTCCCTTTGATGCTGTTCCAGCAAGGTAGCTTAGACTGGGTAATTGATAAAGAACACACTCATATTTCTTACATTGGCTGGGAGGTCCAAGATCCAATCCGAGAATTCTGGCAAATATCTTCATTCTGTGCCATCCTGTGCTGTAAGATGGAAGGACTAGGGAATCTGAACTCTGTTTTGTAGCACACTCAGTCACTCAATAACAAATCCTGACATTAACCCATTCATAGGGCAGAGTCCTCATGATGTGATCCCTGTGAAAGGTCCTACCTGTCAAAACTCTTGCATCAGGGATTCAGATTGCAACGCGCATGACGGAGGAACACATTCAAAGTGTAG